TGAAGGAGCATTATCAACAAGTTGCGATGCACACCCACTTCCAGATAACTGAACATTTTTCTCCCGGTATTTATTTATTCTTTCGGATCTGATCCTATCCTCTTCCTCCACATCAGACTTTGGAAGCACTTCGTTTTGTGATGTGAAAAATTTGTCAGTAACATCTGCAATCTCACTGTCGGCTTGAATCTGTTTCGACTGAGGTACATCTACTGTTATTACACCGGGACGCGTCACCCTTTTTGAGACATCTTTCTTTAACTCAGCCTTCTCTTGCTTATTTAACTCATCATTTTCTTGCTTCTTTAACTCAGCCGCCTCTTTCTTTTCCTCAGCCTGCCGTTTCTTTAACTTAGTCGTCTTTTATCTCTTTAACTCAGCCGCCTCTTTCCTACTTAACACAGCCGCCTCGTTTTTCTTAGGAGCCGCCTTCTTCTTCTTAGGAGCCACCTACTTTTTTGCTAACTCAGCATCTTCTTTGTCCTTCTCTTTAATCTCATCTCTTTTTAGTTTTAACTTTACCCTGCATCCGCGTCCTAAGGCTGTGGGTCCTTAGTAGGAGAAATAGTAACAAAATCAACATCGTCAACCAAATTCTTTTTCACGGCCTTAGCAGGTGAACTATTGACAAAGGCCTTAGCATGTGGACTATTGACAGAATCTCTAACAGACCGACCAGTATATATATATGTTATCAAGTTAACGAGTTGCGTGTCATTTGCTTCATCCGACCACTAAGGAAATATCTATTCTACGGAGTCCTTCATAACCATTTTTCTCACGCATACCTACAAAATCAGCCACCAAATACATAATAACTCAGCATCAAAGTACTAATAACTCATCCATAAAAAAACTAATAACTCAGCCATAAAATAACTAATATCTCAGCCACAAAGTACCAAAAATCCAACCACCATATAAACACTATCTCAGCCATTAAATAACTAATACCAAAAAACTCAGCCACTATATACATACTAACTCAGCCATCAAATAACTAATACCAAGAAGCTGAGATAGTGTTTATATGGTGGCTGGGTTTTTGGTGATTTAATACTATTTTTATGTGTTCAGAAAAAAACTAATAATTCAGCCATAAAATAACTAATAATTCAGCCAGAAAGTACCGAAAACCCATCCACCATATAAACACTATCTCAGCCATCAAACAACTAATACCAAAAAACCCAGCCACTATATCCACACTAACTCATTCATAAAATTACTAATACCAAAAAACCCAGCCGCTTAATACGTAAGTACTTATAACTCAGCCAACAAATAAATAATAAATCAGTTGACACTTTACCTCGCCATGTTCTCTAATCTCCTTAGTAATGGCAGTATCAAAACTTGAATGTTTATGCTTTCCACCCCATCGAAAAAGCTGAACTTCTTGCTCATTGACCACTCTCCCAAAATGCTCACCAAACAAATGACAGATTCATACGCCGAAACCAATAACATGTCCTTCAGACCGTTTATGGTGTATGACCTTCCTTGTGGATTCAACATCTTAATAGAGTCAATAAGAACTTCATATGCAGTCTGACCCCATGGATACGTCATTATGGCTTCATCGTCGAATACTCTTTTTTCACTTTCACACGGTATCATAGAATTATGACGCAAAGCATAAAGTCCCATCGCTTGAAGAAGTAACAGCCCTAACCATTTACGCTTTTTAAAATTCCAGGCTGGACATACCTTTAATGCTTCCTCAGTTCATCTAACTTGGGCCCCATCCCAAGCGGCACATTCAACTCCTCCCAAAACGTTTTGTATTGGTCAGGTTCAAAACTTTCTGTTGGCACTGAATATATGTTTTTAACCCAGTGATCTCACCAAATTCGTGTAAGCTAAACCTGATAGGTTCATAACCAACTAGACTCCAAATCTCCTTTTTATATACTCGAAGCTGTCGACATAGTAGATAGTGTACAATCCTACCAGACCACACGCTTTTGTGTTCAGCTAGGTTAACAATAATTCCAAGAGGACTCTGCCTCAGGTGATCCCATACATCCCGTCCTATTGCTTCTCCGACGTTAGGAAAATATTCCATATGCAAATTGTGATTAACCTCCAAAATATCCCATATGCAAATTGTGATTAAACCCTTTATTTTCTAGTTTAGAAGCTCCTTTAATGTAAAGTCGTGGAGGATAATCCCGTGCTTCATCTTCAAAAATAGCCATCTAATCCTAAAACACACACATATATATATATAAATTAGCTGCAATAGAAACAAAACTCACAACATAATAAATAACTCAGCCACCATATAACACAGTCGTAATAGAAACAAAACTCAGTCACAACATAATCAATAACTCAACCGAAACATAACCAATAACTCAGCCACAACATAATCTATAACCCATCCACAATATAATCAATAACTCAGCCTTAACATAATCAATAACTCAGACAGATCATAATCATTAACTCAGCCACAACCTAATCTATAACTCAGTCGAAATTGAAAACTATTTTTTCACAACGTAAATCAAACTCAACTCAGCCACACTATACAATAACTCAGTTACAACATAATCTATAACTCAGCCACGTCGTAAATCAAACTCGGTCACGATATAAATCAAACTCAGCCACACCATACAGGAGAAGATTATGTCGTAGATACGATTGCGTAGAAACTTTTGCGAAGAAGAGGATAGCGGAGACAGTTCGATACGAGACGATTAGTTGTGACAAAGATGATATCGGACACGGTTAGGGGTTAACGAGATCGACGAAGATGATAACAGAGAAGACAATATCAGAAACAGTTCGATACGAGAGTATTGGTTGTGACGAAGATGATTTCGAACTAAGTTAGGGTTTAACGAAAGTTGTGACGAAGAAGTTGTGATGATATTTTTTTTTCCTATTCACCAGAGATATGAGACAATTGATTTTCCAGTGTCATTATTGATGATGACGTGAATTGCCTAATTGGTGATGTGGATTTAATAATTAAAATTAATATCAAGAATAACAAAATTAAACAAGAGTTTTTATTGTAATTTATTAGAAGTCTAAAATACTCTAGGCATTTTTAAAAAAATATATACTATTCTAGATATATCCCAACTATTTTGTACTATTACAGTAATTTTCTCTAAATATAATACAGTCTAAACTCTAAAGCGTAGTATAACTTTTTATTATGAGAAAAGGAAGTCTTTAACAAGCTATCAGTATCTCAACTAAAGTTGACATTTTGGATCCTTGAATGCCGTACCAACGTTGACATATAACACATGTATAGCTTCTTTTTATTGCACGGGGACAACTAATTTTGCAAATTGGGTTTTAAATCACATTAAGCAAACTAGATGCCACGTTAATCACTAAATACGAAACCGCCATGTAAAATTCATAATACCTAAGCTATTATATCGAATCAAAAATAACTTGTGACTTCGAACAAAACAAGGAAATACATACCACATGAGTCGATTATAGTTAGCAAACTAGTGGACTACAGAATTTGATATTTCATCTTTTTAATTGTGAAGTTAATTTATTTTTTCGCTGTAATTGTTGAAAGAAGGATTGTGAAGTTAATTCGCTGTATAGATTTGAAAATTCTATTAAACAATTAAGTCCGATATAAACATGAAGCAATAATTATGTTCTTGCTGCTTCGGTTTGGAGAAATATTGTTTCAAAAATCGTATTTTCACGAAATGTAGCGTTTCTTTACCGTATTCTTCCACCAAAAAAAGGGAAAAGGGAACGTGAACAGTATTAATGATCACACGGGTTGCGACTTTTGATTTGATACACACAACTCATTAAAATGGATTTGTTGGATATACAGTTATGAATTCACCGTCCAAAGAAAATTGTATTTTTTTCTTCTATGTGGCTGGTTAGTTACCTGATTAGAATATGATTCAATTTTGTTTAATAAACAAGGTTTTTGATTCTACATATTGTTAACTTCTAATGATCCTAACACCGATAATGATCCTAACTCCGATTAGCGCCGTAGTCGATCAACCAACTCCATTGATTCTGTCATTCAAAATAAATAATGTTCATTGTTGCAAAATGCAAGAAAATCAAGATGGGTGATGGGTTGTCTACATGTTTACAAAAGGTTGGTCTAGAAATGGAAAACTTTTATTTTCTTGATCAACTTGATTTTGTTACTGTTTTAGTTCTACATTGTGTTTATAGTTACATTTTATTCAAAATCTATGATACGTTATAAGATATTTTGGTATTTATAATTAACTTTATTTATTGAAAAGTATGACTAACTGTAGATTATAGATTTCTGGACAATTGGTTGATTTATTTTTACTTTATTTTGATGCTATTTTTTAAAATGTTGTTTAGTTCTTTTGTTTGAAGCCAAAACATCAAACATCGTATTAGCTTCTTCTTCTTTTTTTTTTTGTAACACAAACATCGTAGTGGTTAAGTTATCAAAAGGACCAATAAATATTTAAATATACGATTCTCTTTGTAGTGTTGTATGGCAAGGTGAGATCTTTGTATGCAACTTAACAGCTGTTTCTTTACTTTAGGGTGTTGTGTTGTTGAAATTATGTGAGATTTCAGATTTCTCGTGTGTTGTCCACGTCGCTCATGTCATGTGGGTTCTCTCCTCGTGTCAGAAGAAAAGATAGTTGGAGAAAATGAAATCACTAACAAAAAGAAACTTGGGTTTATGTTTAGTAAACCAAAAGAGATTGATCGTATCATGGTGTATAAACACAAAGAAGGAACTCGTAGTAATATATATTACAAGGTCCTATAGATGCAAAATTAAGTTATATAAAACAAACCCGCAAAATCATTTTTGTCCGTTTCTAATTATAAAACTAGGATTGTTTTGTCAATAATCAAAAACAAGACTTCATTGGCAGAGCGGAACCTAATTAATATTCTATCATTTGATACCAAGATTTGAAGTTCTGATGAAACAAAGACCTGTCCTAATTTGTAACCACTCTGCTTCCAGTTATTGATACTATAAGTTATCTTCCTTGATGTTCAATGCATTGCTGGACTTTCCCAACAGAAGACACAACTAGTCTTCTTACTTTTGCATGTTTTATTTCACATTTTGCTTCGAGTCTTGGCATAGTCTTATTAAAGTTATGGTCATCTTCTGCGTTTGTGGGTTTGACTCCCTCTTCCAAAAATTCATCCGCGGGATGTCCATCATCATCAACCCTCACTTTCATCATCAACCCTCACTTACTCCCTGGTTCAAAAGAGGAAAAAAGTGTAACAAGTGTGGGAAAAATTAATATACAAGAAGATAAATGCACTCTTAACTATAAGTAAACTCCCCTACTAACCCAGAGGCCTACACCGCTTCACAATCCAACATTGGAAATCAAGAATACAGGTAGCTGGAGGGCTTTGACGAAAACCTGGATCCTGAGGGAAACTAGAGAAGTAAACCAATCCCATATATAGTACTCCCTCCGTTTCATATTAAGTATCGTTGTAGGGATTTTTTTCCGTTACAGATTAAGTGTCGTTTTCGGTTTTCAATACAAAATTTATTAATTTTATTATGTAATTTGTTTTTCTATTGGTTAAAATGTGATTATGTGTATAGGTAATTGTGTTTTTATATAAGAAATATGTAAAATTAATTGTTTTCTTAATCCGTGTGCACAGCTATAGAGTGACACTTATAATGAAACAGAGGGAATATATAACAGAGTACAAAAAAGTGATATTGAAAAGCTTGCTTTCTAGACATTGTCTTTACTGCAAGTCTTGCATCTAACTGTTCGGATTATCAATTGGTTTCGTTTATGAAGAATATGAAGGAGACAGTGAACTATATACAATAAGGAAATATAATTCAAATATAGAACTGGGTTCCAAGCAATCAAACTAAAGCAAGTGCAGCTTTTTTTCATATTCTTTCCTTCTCTTCATTTATCTGTGCGGTTAATTTTAATTTATGTTGTAAAAATTTACTTTTGGGTCGCTATCGGGTTGCGTGATGGCCGATTAATAAAAGTTTACCCGTTTGCTCGTTTCATCGTCTTTGTCACTTTGTCAACTACTTAGCTGTACATATATATGCGAATCAGCAATGTCGTGTACATCGTAGTCCTTGTCAATAGTAAGGCAAATGTAGCTTGTACGTTTTACATTCTTCGTTGAGGTGCTTGATTTGTGATACCAGTTAGTATTGTTCCATTAAGATTTGACGTGATTCAGGTATGATTTGTTAGCGTCAGGAAATTAGTAACATTTTATTATTAGCTCTTTCCCAAGTGTTCACAATATTGAGTCTAAACAGTAGTAACATAGAGTGAGATATATATACCAAGTTCGAGAAAATTTAGTTAAAGTGATTCATGCTAAACTATACAGAATGATAAAAAGAAATAGACACTTCGTTATACTAATTTTTTCCGGCTCTGGTTGTTAATAAACTATGAGTTCCTACTTTAATCTACTGTCATATGCTAGTGTACATCTAGAGTTGTTATGATAGTAGTAACATAAATGGATTGTCCTGGCTTATGGTTTCTTTTATATTAGATGACCATGTGAGTTTTACTATTCCAGTTGATGGTTACTGTTACTAAGGAAGTCGTCTAGGTATTGAAACGTGTCACCATGGAAGTGTTTTGATGTAGTTGTTGTCTACGTACCCTTTGATGGTAATTTCAGTTGGAATCAAACTATCCGTAGTTCATAATACTATGAACACGTGGCCTAGGTGCACACTTGGCCTTAGTGGATACATAGCCTACGTGGACACATGGCCTTGGTGGACACATAGCGTAAACGGGCATGTGACCTAGGTTGTTGTGTAGTTTTTGTGGATGGTTAGCCTAGTTGTGCATGTTCCATTATAGTGTGATAATTTCACATGCTATAGTGGGAAAGTACCATGAAATTGATTGGTATCATCTGGTAGATGGTAGATCAGTAACATTTGATCAGATGTGTGTGTCAATATGTTTCACGAGTAGTGCCGTTCAAGTTATGAGCAGGGTGTTGTGGTCTGAGCTCGTAAATAGACTCGTGCATGTGCTACAATAAACACAAATCATGGTTTAGTTGGTAGTGATCATGTAAATCTGTATATTATCACGAAAAAATTACACTGTAAGGCAGTTTCAAGTTTTTAATAACACTTTAGAGCAGACATTTTATCTTCTTCCAATACATTTTTTACTTCTTCTAGTTGGTGAAACAATTGAAATTTAATTAAAACTCAACTAAACAATAAAATACTAATTTTCTATTATTTTGTTTATTTCTCTCTTTCTTCTTCATCTTCTTCCTTCCAATTTTTCTATTTTCTTTTTAAATCAGAATCTCACTCTTCAGATTGTTTTCTTTTCAAAAGAACTTGTATATAATTATTATCTCTGTTATTTAATCTATTTTTTAAGATATGTCAAGAAATATATCTGATGATGGTGTAACAATGACATATATGATAACGACACCAATGGTAGAAACGTGATGGACTTTGACATATTGACGACTGGAGACGTAGGTAGACGACAAACAATGCAGAAGACTCTTCACATGGGACACCACCAAGATATTAGGGTTCCTCCACTACATTCGTGTCTCAGCTCCTCCTTATTTGTCGAGATTTATCTTCCTTGTGACATTTGTTCATCTCTGATGCACCTTCAACTATTACAAAAGCTTGAGAACAACCATGGATAATTTTAGCTTTTTTGCTAGTCTGATCCCTAGTTTTTCATCATTTTGATTTTGATCCCAAACTCTTTAAACACATATATTGCTCTAAAACTTTGACCCTAAACTTCTAAATTTTCATTCTTATCCAATGTGATATGCAAATAAATAAATAAATAAATAAATAAATAAATAAATAAATAAATAAATGCAATATATACACATAAACCAAACCTAATATGATCAAAAAGGAACTATAACTAGATACTCAAAATCATTAAAATTATCAGATATCATAATTTGTGTAGTGTACAAAAGAATCAGTGTACATGTGGTTTTTAATAAAAAAACATTGTACATGTGGACATTGATTATGAATGCCATCTTATCTCACTATGTACAACAATAATGAAGCAAACAAATCAAGAAATCAGAGGGTATTGCTCTAGGTTGGAAGGTCTACATGTTTAATGTTTATATGTGATATTATCTGATACCCACATATTATTGAACAAGTTAAATAGTGTACATATGAATCATTGTACGTGTGGATAATGAAATAGTTGTTACATGGTATATTGTACACAGCAAATGACTTTTAAAATTATAGTTTTATTTCTTTTGTACTTTCTCTAAAACCTGAGTAGTATGTTTGTATTATTTTTACAGGTTTCATTTCCTTTGTACATTCATGATTTAAATTATTTAAATTATCAACATTATTCTCTTTGTATTCTATTATAGTGTACATGTCCATATGCACATTTGCCTCATAGTGTCCATATACACATTTACCTCATAGTATACATGCTTCATAGTGTAAGTATGCATTTGTAATGCATTTTTTTTTGCATTTGTGAAACAAAACTTATTTGGTTAACAAGTGAACTAATGAACATGTAAGCTTTTGGGAATTTATGTACACGTAGACAATGAAAATTATGTATACATGTGAATCATTACTCAATTCATTAGTGTACATATGAAATATTGTACACATGGATAAATAAATTTTTTGTACATAGTGTCATATACATATGATGTTTATACAAATATTATTAGAAACAACGTACACAATAAATGATTTTAAGATATTTATCATCTCATTTACCTCATTTTAATTATTTTTAAGATGCAGTTAAATATATATATATATATATATGCACATTTGGAAGTATGAGACCAAATAAAAAAATTAGTGTAAGACACATTATGCTACACACACACTTTTTCCAACGTACACAAGAAATGATTTTAAGATATTTCATTTTTGTTTATACCTCAGATATTTTATTTGAAAATGTCACTGAAGCAAACCCAAAAATTCAAAAGAAATTCAATAATTTCTGAGACAGTATATTATGGATGACTAGTATAAATGGTCTAACTGAATTAACAAATTTTCAGTTTTATCCTAGGTGACAACTTATATAATTTCTAAATGTACACATGTGATTGTCTTTCTTCTTTGAGCAACTAACTAAAACCTATTAAAATCAATATCATAATTTGAACAATGTACAAATAATATAAATGGTCTAACTGAATTAACAAATTTTCAATTTTATCCTAGGTGACAACTTAAATAATTTCTAAATGTACACATGTGCTTGTCTTTCTTCTTTGAGATACTAAGTAAAACCTATTAAAATCAATATCATAATTTGAACAATGTACAAATAAATCGGTGTACATATTTTTTCCCTAGATTGGTACTACTCTAGATTGGAAAGCTTATATGTTTAATATTTATGTAAATAAAATAATAAATTATCTGGTATTCGTACATTATTGTACAAGTTAATCAATGTACATATGAACCATTGTACACGTGGATAATGGAATATTTATGTACATGATATAGTGTACACAACAAATAGTTTTTTAAAATTGATATGCTCGAGTTATGGGTTTGGAATCATTAGTGAGACATGATTCAAATACATATGTATGTATTTGTTTGACATTTTGAGTAATCAACATTCAATCCATATATATGACACCACATATTTTCAGTCACCTTATATGTACATGTCCACATGACATAGAGTGTACAAAATCACATTGTACAAAACACAACAACCTTTCAACACGTACACATATGTTTGAGATACATGTTAGATGTTCAACATGTTGTAAAGCTGTGTACATTCGTTACTGTACATGTGTACATTAAATATTGGTGGTGTACATGTGTTAAAAGCTGAACAGAAAAATTCTAAAAGTTCAAAGATCCGTTCGTGTAATCATGGAAGGTCTGGTATGTACAATTACAAAGTGAGGAATCAATTTGAAAAAGATATATTTGTAACTCATAAATTTTTGGGGCATATATAAATATACTAAAAATAGGGGACCAGATGTGAAATAAAATCAAAAGTGGCCATTGCTGCTCATCAAGCTTTTCCAGAGAAGCTCGAACCGCGTCGGAGAAGCTCGAACCGGTCACAACTCAGAAGATGATCTGTTGGTGATGATGAAACAAGATCCGCCACATATTGGTCGCTACTTGCAAGGTATCTCCGCTTCACCACATATCTGAGAAGCAAAA